TTACAACTTTTTAAGAAATTCTAAAAGCTTCTGAAAATTTTCACAATGAAACACTGCAGCATTTATCTGAGTTACTATTGGAACAGGTGGAAGAGGCACTAGTAATATCCTTGTATTGCTGAACTCTTGCTGGACACTTTAGCAGAATTTTTTTCATTTCAGGCATTATGAATTTACTACAGAGTGCTCATCGCAAATACATTCATATACTATGAATAGCAAGGGCTAAAACAAGTAACATGTTTAATTAAACATGTTTCATATTTGGGTGCTATCTATCCTATTCATTTAATCATGTCCAACTCTTGGTCACTCTATGGATCAAAGCTCTCCATGCTTCTCTATCTTTCACAGCCTCTTTCAATTCTATTATAGATAATTAAGTGTCACTTGATAATCATTTGTTTTCAGCAATATAGGTTGCATATATTCACCAGTTTGAGGAACTATCAAGATATTTAACACATACCTATTTAAGGATTTAAGGCATCAGTAGTTTCATCCAGGATAAAACAGACTGGATTCTTGTCCACAGTTCTTAGTACTTTTTGAAAAAGTTGCTTGGTAGACAGAAGGCAAGTAATTCTCCCAAATAGTACTTTCATCTGGCAATTTATTCCCAATATATTTTTCAAGATAACTTTTAATTATAGGTTGACTGAGTTTCAATAACAGAATTCCTGCCTTGATAAATGTTTCAGCAGTATGTATATATATACTGCTGAAACATTTATTTATCATTAACAATTGATTCTTTGGAGAACTGACTGCATTTTGCAAGACCTGTCCAATAAACTGTTGCTACCTCAAAGTTTCTTTCAATGATTTGTACTTGATGTTTTGTACTTCTTATATGTTGCTAGATCCTAGACTTTTGATGTTTTTCATCAACATTTATTGTCACATTGCAGACATCACACCAAATAACTTTTCCATTGAGAATAATTTTTCATTTTTAAATTCTTGCGAAATCTCACAAAGTTTGCCTGTAGTCAATCTTTTTGCCATTTTTCCATTCTCCAATTCCTTCACTAATGAAAATTTTGAATTTTCTCTCTACAAAGCACCATTTGGTTTTAATGATAAATTTGTACTAAGAGTATATGGGGATTAGATGAGTGAAATTCCTAAACTGTTAAGAAAATAAACAAGGGGGTGCAGAGGAGAGGCAGATGAAGGAGAGAGGGATGATGACAACAGTTGATAAAGGCAGGAAAAGACAATCATGGAAGACATTGAATATTAAAAGACAAACGCAAGAATTAAGGGAGTTTAACCTATTTTGCCAACAATTAAATCATAATTGTACTACACCTTCCTTCACTGTTCTATTCCCTACATATATGAAAGTTTCCAATTAGAATATTTTTGATGGTATCCATAATTTTATAACATTTGTAATGAAGAAAATTTCCAGTAAATTGCTTTTTAGTAATGATTTCTGTCTCAAATATTTCTATTTAATGTTTTTATTAGCTATGTATATCACTCCTTTAAATGAAATCTCAATTCTCTAATTACATTACAACTAGAGTTTCACTAAATTTTGACTTCTCCTCTCACTAATCGTTAATTCCTCAATGACCAAGGAGTGAATGCTTTGACACTGGTAGCAATCATATTACCTCTGGAATTGTCATTTAAGTGCAAATATAGAAAGAGAAAGTGCAAAAAATGCTAAACATTATAATAGTGGGAGTTTGGTGTTGCCCCTTTTTTTCATCCATCATTTGATATACATTTATATATGATATTTACACTTAATTCAGATTTTATTTTATTTTAGAAGAGTGTTAAAAACTAAGGCACAGTACCTAAAAATCTGGTCTTTAATAACGACACACACAAAAAATAGTATGACAGAGCCTAAATCACAGATAAAACAATTTATCACAATACACCTGACATCACTTTTATTGACAAATGCAATAAGATCATTTATATAATAAACATCTCCATTTCAAACACTAACATGAAAAGTGCTCACACTGAGAAAACCAACAAGTATACGCTACTCGTCCAAGAAATAAAGCATCTGTAGAAGATGGATAGGGTATTTATTGTCTTCTCTTCCACTGGTGTTATACCACATACACTATACAAAAGTTTAAGAATGTTAAACCTTAATAAAAACATATACATGACACTATAGAATGCTCCAATATTGAACACATCACATTGCTAGAAAGTTTCTACATGTGGACAAATACGCCAACAACATGGAAGCTTAATGTTTCACTTGGATAGCCATGCCTTGACTTTAGTCTGGCATAGCACTTAGCACCAATATGAACTGAGTATGACATTTGCAACATAATAATAATAAAAAAAAAACAAACAGAAGTTGCAGTAAAGTGTGTTTAAAATAAAAGCATTAAAACTCATTATTTATCTTTAACCATTGTTTCATTATTTTTGCTAATCCTTTTAATAAATTAGCAAATTTTAGCTTCACAAATATGAAAGAAGGGTTGATATTACCAAATCATGAATATGTATACATATGGAGCTTCTGCTGTACTGGATTGAATACTATTTAATAAAAATATATTTTTGGATTTTGAAGACGTTTGAATAATATAAAAAAGATTCTTGCCTGTATTATTTAATTACAAAACACTACTTAGTTACATATGACTAATGAACAGCTTATTAAATACTCAGCCTGTTTAATTAACTTATCCCAAAATGCATTTTGGCCTTACTGGCCTTTATCAATTGGGTGACATACAAAACAGTCTACAGTGACAATTTGTCAACATTACCATATACATTAATACTGCAATTATTACAAATAATATATTACATACACATTATTAATAGAATTCTAATATCAACAAAATTAGGACAGTAACACAACAATAGTTAACAAGTCATAGTAAAAACCTTGTGAATAGTCTATCTTCTTTATGGTAGTAGTAATTTCCTTATCCTGTCTCCACCACACCTGTAGAGTATGCTTGATATTTATTCTCATTTGGATAAGTTTGGACACATTTTCCATTACGTTTTTGGATGCTTGTATATATTTAGATCTTAATATACAGATTCAGTGATATACAGTTAATATAAACAATAACATACAATATAATAAGACCACAACGTATTTAAACTTTAAACTTTCTACCTCTAGATTTTACTGCTTGTTTTCAATTGGTTATCACAAGACATCTGCTGTTAGCTAACCATCACATGTAAGCAACATGTGTTTACAAGAAAGAATTGCATAACTATAGAAATATATAATTGAACAAAATTAATTTTTTATGTTTAAAATGTGATATTACATTTGATTTATTTTCCATCTGTAACTATCATTAATCTTGCTACAATTAGTTATTATTATTTCTATATGTTCATACAGTTCACATTTTTACATACTATTTTTCAAATTTTTTAACTTTTATTGTAGGTATACTTATTTCACAGCCTTTACTGTTGAATGTTTGGCTACTGTAGAGTTATATTTTATGGCTCTTATAAGTTATTTTATTCTAGTATTTAATTTTCTACCAGTTTCCCCTATATATACATATCTATATGGATTTTACAACTAAAATTAAACTTACACACTATTTTTCTTTGTTTAATGTCATATTGTTAGTTTTTGATTCAAAGCTTTTAAATTCCTTTATTTATAGTATTTTGATATTCTGGGATCAAAATAATATATTTAAAAAAAATCAAAAATATTTTAAAACTATACATTTTTAACATAGGCTAATTTTTTAAATTTAATTTCATTACTGTTGATATTAACAGGTTAATTTGATTCTAATTTATTTAGCCATTTCATTAGCAGTTGCTTTGGGTAATCATTTTTTTAAAATTTATTGATGACTTCCCGTATTTCTTTATAATTGCACTATTAATATTTATAGTAAATGTTCACAAATTGTCACCATAGAACTGTTTTGTATGTCACCCAATTGATAAGGGCCAGTAAGGCCAAAATGCATTTTGGGATAAGTTAATTAAATAGGCTGGGTATGTAATAAGCCTGTTCATTAGTCATGTGTAATTAAGTAGTTTTTTGTAATGTTTGTATAAGTGTAATTTCTTCATAAGTGGAAATAAGTCTGATCATGAAATCAACTTAAAAAATATAAGAAAAAGTACAAGTTATTTAAATAAGATTAACAAAAGACCAAATATGAAAAATTAAATTTAGAAAGCAAAAAATACTATGGTCATATTCAAGAAGTCCCTGTTTATTGTTTTTCAATATTTTTCATATTCTTCAGAACCAAACTTCAGAACTCAAAAGACAGGCAAAATATTCATAAAAAAAAAAGAAAAAAAAAAAAAAAGAAATAGAATATTAAAGAGAAAGATATACAGGAACAGAACAAGATTAAAACATTAAATTAATTTGACATTTTCAAATTATTAACAATAAAGAAGATTTTAAAATATTAGGTTCAATTTTCTATGGAATGAATGATGAAAGCTTACACTAGTGCATATTCGGTTTTAAAATTTTAGACAGTAAAGCTAAATTTACTAACATTCAAATATTTTCTATTTATTCATTCTTTTTATAACTTTTATAAATATATTGTGTCTTAGATGTCCTGAAGCTTGGTAAATAAAACCCAAAAAGGTCTTGACAATAAATGAAAGCAACTCATTGAGAAAAGATTTATGGCTTTTGACATTTAAATATAATTAATTAAGAAAGTAGATAAATAATTATTTCATCAGATTTTCTTTCAGAATCACAATTAGATATACACAGAGTAATGAAAATAATGACAGTCAAATAAATATTTGCATTAGTATATAAAAATTCATAATATAAAGAAAGAAATCCTCAAACTTATTTTGAAGAATTTATTGTAAAATATTTTTGAATGTTCAATGAAGCTTTAGTTGTAACGTCAAATATAATACTGAAGTTAAGATTTCTGATATTTAAATCTTAGAATAATATTCAGCTATTTCATAAATAAATGGATGAATATGAATTTTCTTTTACAAAGTTTAAAAAAGATGTTTACCTTTTTGTTAATTGCTGCTTGTAATGCAAGTCGTCTTTCAGAATTTTTGTTAGGAGAGGAAACAAATTTTAAAGGGCCTTTTACGTGGTCTCGCAATTTGCGAGGAGCATTGGGGTCGACGTCATCGTCGAGATCGTCTTCTTCAGTTTTATCACATTCACTACATTGCCTTCAGTAAGAGAAAGGAAAAAACAATGTACTATATAAAATACATATCTTATTTATTAAGATCAAAGATTTTTCAATATTTGTTTAATAATATTTCTATAAATTTAAAAATATGCTAATGATATGAATGCAATATAAGATAATTTAACTAAAGTTTAAAATAAACACTGCCAAAAACCTAACAAACCAGTGAGAAAATTATACACAAAGTGTGGACATTTTCATTAGTGTTAAATGGGCATTATCAGGCAACAAACTGCTGAGATGACACAGGGGAGTGCCAAACACACATGCAGGAGGAAGGTGTTTTAGAGAGGGGTTTATATTTCATAGAAAGACTTCAGGCAGTGGAGAAGGCATCAACATTGTGATAGTTTATGGCTGCGTTATGGTGGGTGGCCTTGTAAATTTTCACTTGTTCAAGATGTTTCAGCATATGTGCTTTAGATTCGTGATGTAGGAGGTGTGTCTCATGGAAGTACACCTAGTTGCATAAGAAGCCAAAGCCATATTGTTTAACCTTTTTTTTTTTTTTTTGATAGTTGTTTGATGTTCTTTGAGACAGATATGTAATGTAGAGACATAGTACCTATGTATTGCAGATGGCAGATGTAACAATGCACACTGATTGGGATGCTCCTTCCCCACTGCTGGAAGTCTTTCTATGAAATATAAACCTCCCTCTCTTCTTATGTCATACACCCCTTCCCCCTACATATGTGTTCGGCAATCCCCTTTGTCTTCTCAGCAGTTTGTTGCCTGACAATGCCCATTTAACGTCAACGAAAAGTTCAACTTTGTGTATAATTTTCTTGCTGGTTTGTTAGGTTTTAGCAGTGTTTATTTTGTCTAAGGTCTAAAATTTACACAAAGAAAATTTATCTGAAAACATTATGATTTTAGAACATAAAATGAACATTTAAAGTTAGATAAGTAACTGTGTGTTTTCAATTTTAAAATTTTATTTTCATTTGTTCCATTATACATAGACTTTCTAGGTTTTGGCTATTTTTCTGTTTCTGGGATTCAAGACTTTTTTTCTGTCCCAGGAATTCACAGAACTATAAGATTTTAATCACAAATTATTTTTGCATTGTATTTATGTAATAAATTTAGTAAAGATTTTAATTTTGCTAACATTCATAAAATAGATTGAATAAACTGAGGGGACTCATTCAGAATAAGATGTTTTTCATCAATTATATCCAAGATCTTAAAATTTTAAATTTTTAGATAAATTTGTTGAAATATCAATTAATGAAAATAAAACAAATTTTAAAAAGATATAAAACAGATTTCTTTAATATATTGTCCTCAAAATATAATTTGTTTAGATTAGAGCTCTATATGGCAATAAATAGTGTAGTGTTTTTTAAGTCATCCTTTAGTTTTTAACATTTTCTGTGAGTATTTTGTAAAAAATATTCTTTCTAAAAGAAATATCAGTTGTTTAAGTTATGTTTTTTGATTTGCTAATTCTGATAAAATACAAAAAAAAAAAAAAATGAATAAAAGTTGTTTAAAATACAGTATACTTATAAACTTTACAAATATTTTGATTGAAATAAGCAAATTATTACTGAGCTTAGAAATCTCTGGTGCCACATTACTTTTAATTCAAGTCTTATTTTTGGGGGTAATAATAACCTACTATCAGGAAATGATCTTCTGATCCATTTAAATTAAATTTTTAATCCCCATTTTGTACCCTTTTCCAACTCTCCTCAATTAGTATCATTTTCTGGTTTTTTCAAGCTTTTGCACAAAATTACAAATGAAATTTGTTAAGTTTGACTCCAGTTAAATGATTTCCAGTTGATTTTCCTGCCCATTTAACATTCAGAAATTGAAATTTCAACTGTAAATAGTTTTGAATTCAAATACTCCTTCCCAAATTTTAAATTTCCTGTTGTGATTAGAAAAAAAAACATCAGTTGACTAATGGTGTTTTAAAAATAGTATAAATAGGTAATTTTCTTTTCAACAAAGTTTTGCAAGTTATATACATATATATATACAGTAGTGGCCAAAAGTAGATCAACCCTTGACATATGTTTTAAAAATGCAACCTCTATTTTGTTCACCATCTACTATATAATTAATATTGTGATAGTTGAAAAGAGCAAAAAAAAAAAAAAAAAATAGTCAAGGTACTCAATTAACTCAAACAAATTTTATTTTAAATCTGATCTACAAAAAGAAAAACAAAGTTTTTATATTTTACACTGTGACAAAAGTAGATCTACCAAAGGAAGTATCCAGATTTGTCCAGTATTTTTAAGACAAAATATTAGTATTTTGTGGTATAACCAGAGCTTCTGATCACTGCATCAAATCTATGTTCCATTGAATCAACTAAGTTGTCAACCAGTGATTTGGGAGCTCATACCATGCTTTTTGAATGATAGACCATAATTCATCTAGATTTGAATATGTACACTGGCATATATGGCGCGCAACTTCATCCCAAAGATTCTCTATGGGGTTGCGGTCTGATGATTGGGCTGGCCATGTCATTGGTTTTAACAGAAAAGATTCACTCTTTTCTGTTAAAACCATTGCTTTACCAAATTTGCTGGGTGTTTTGGGTCGTTGTCCTGTTGGAAGATCCATTTCCTTGGCATTAAACGACGTGCATGAGGAAGTATTTGATTCTGCAATATGTCCTGATAAATTGTTTGATCCATTATTCCATTAACTCTATGAATTGGACTAATTCCCTTTGCAGAGAAACATCCCCATATCATTATGCAGCTACCACCATACTTTATTATAGGAACTATGTATTTTGGGTCATATCTCATGTTCACTGGTTGTCTGACATATTGTATACCATCATTAGAGAAGACATTGAATTTAGAATCATTACTCCATAACACCTTGGACCATTTTTGTTTGGTCCAAGTGATGTGTTCATGTGCAAACTCTAATCTCAACTTTTTGTTTTTTTTGCAGAGATGAGTGGTTTCTTTGCTGGCCATCTCCCAAGTTATCCAAAACTAGTCAAATGTCTTCATACAGTCCTTAATCTTACATCTGGGTTACCCACTTCACATTTAATATGTGATGCAGTCAAACAAAGATTGGCTGCACTTGTATGCCTGATCAAATGATCCAACCATGGTGTAGTTTTCCATGGCCTACATGACTTTTTGGCAGAAACAATGGTCCCATATAACTGAAAACACTTCACCACTTTCGCGACAACAGTTTTATGCATATTAAAGTTTTTACCAATTTCAGTAAAGGTCTTTTTTCCTTCAAATGCATATCTACCATTCTTTGTTTGATATCATTTGATAATTGTATTCCTCCACACAACTTAGTTGATTCAATGGAACGTAGATGTAATGCAGTGATCAGAAGCTCTGGTTATGCCACAAAATACTAATATTTTGTCAAAAAAATACTGGACAAATCTGCATACTTCCTTTGGTAGCTCTACTTTTGTCACAGTGTAAAATATAAAAACTTTGTTTTTTCTTTTGTAAATCAGATTTAAAATAAAATTTTTTTGAGTTAATTGAGTATTTTGACTATTTTTTTGGTTCTCTTTTCAACTATCACAATATTAATTATGTAGTAGATGGTGAACAAAATAGAGGTTGCATTTTTAAAACATATGTCAAGGGTAGCTCTACTTTTGGCCACTATTGTATATAATATTCAGGCAAATGCAATAAATATGTGATATGTGAGTAAAACAACTTTCACTTGTCAGCCCATTTGCTTTTTCCTGGCTAGCAACTCTAATATTGACACAATCTGTGAAAAAAGTATTTTGGATATAAAGTTTCATATAGGCTTAAATTACATTTGTCACATGAGAAAAGTGTAGGAATTGGATGCCAATGATAAATGAGTCATAGAATCTAAATTCAAATGTCAACTTATTGTCCAAGTAATCATTTGAGAAAGACCACTTGGACAATCAGTGGGTTGCCACGTTGAAAGCAATGAACGACAAGGAAATCGTTCAACGTGTGACCACTGTTAGCTACTGCTGAATTTGCAGTCTCTATCTTGTGACCAGAGTTGCCAGGTCTGCATATTTCACACCCAGTTGGGCTACTTTAACTGTGAACTGTGCCTTATTTCTTGGAGTTGTGGACTGCACATTTTTAAATTTTCAACTGAATTCCAAATCATAATCTAAATATGAGCATTTGCAATTCAATTTTGCAATGCTGGTTTTTGACACAAAATATCACTGTCTAGTGTTTGATTTCATAAGTAAATGCACCAATCAAAACCTTGATGATCCCAGTAAATAATTTAATGTAAATTTGACAAACATTTTAAATCTTGCACAAAATCTGCTTCAGATCAACAACATTCTAAATTGAAATGCACAGAACTAATTTTGAAATTGTTTCAAATGTTGACTGATTAAATTAAATTAAACTGTAAAAATTTTTTTAAAGTAATGCCGATAGTAGTAAGCAGGAAGAAAATTTAAGAAAACTGTCTGCAGGATATGTCAAAGTAGGTATTATTACTGATGGAGCTATCTTGAGATGGAATATTCGTGATGTAAAGATCACTGTTAATGAAGAGCATAAGTTGGAAGGTGTTAAAAAGTACATTTTGACTGCAAAACATGTAAATGGAAATGAAATTAAAGCAAGAAAAAACAAACTTTTATTTTAAAATCCTTTGTAAAAAGTAGTAATAGTGATGCTTCCAAAAAAAAATTCTTTTCATCTTTAGTTATAGCTTTCTTATATTCCAGGATTCCTCTAAGTAAGGTCAGCCATCCAAATTTGGAAAATATTTTGGAAAGATGGATTGGCAAAGTCAACTGTTGGCTATTCCTGATGGCTTTGCCAATCCATCTTACTTTAAGAAAAATGTTATGTTCAACTGGTATATGCAAAAACAATCTTTAAGATAAAAGATATTATTAGAAATAACCCTGTTTTGTTTCTTATGGATGAAACAGATGCATGAAATGGTTGGTTTTAAATATTTTAGTGGCTCCACTAAAAAAAAAAAAAAAAG